CAATTTTCAAACATGGCAATTTACAAGTTTATCATTTCGCAAACAACAGCGTAATGGCTTAAATGGAACCGCTAAAAGTTTGAACTGTTTCCTTACCTGAGAAGAAAAGTGGAGCTTTGTTGTTTTCTGTTGACTCGCCAAGTTTATAGCCAAAAGGGCTTGTTGTGTCGTTCTTCGCATGAAGTGCTGACAAAAATGGCGGCTCGGTTGCTCGAGGTAAGACGTCGTCTTCCTGTATCATTCTTTTTCCTGTTTACTTGAAATTTGTTTGTCATAAATAAACTTCGATTTTTGAGCCAAAATTTTCTTGTTAGAAAACGCTGAGTTCACGAAACCGCTTCTTCTACGCGAATTCACCGAAGTTGTAAACAATCCATCGAGCACAAAACTCAGCTACAGTAAATTAAAAAACGCCGTATTGAATCCTTCCAAGTCTTTTCTTGCCTTAAAAAAGTCAGCCCTAGGATTTTGTCGACTTTTAAAAGATCGTTCTCTAAAAAAATGGGAAAAACACCGAGCTCACACATTATCCACTCGCTAGAGGGTGAATATTGTTGAATAGTCTGAGATAGCGAATCAATCAGGTTGCTTAAATCACCAAGATCACGGAGTGTGTATATACTAAATTTACATATATAATTAATCTAATTCGTAGGCTTGTTTAAACGGTGAGTCTTCAGAGCTCTCTTAAAAGCATTTACACTTGCAGACTGTCTGACCTCTAAAGGAAGGTCATTCCAGAGCTTTGGCCCCGCGATGGAAAAAGCCCCATCATCACACGATTTAGTGTTGGTCTTACCAATATAACCTCAAGATAATTCTGAAGTATATCTGACTTCCTGTCATCAATTGTGCATAAGATGTAATTTTGCACTCTTATCAAAGCAGTCTCGGTTGAATGGCATGTCTTATAGGCAGACTGCAAAGCCTCGAAAATCATGTTCTTGCACATGCTGAGTGAACGGGTCGGCGACAGCCTTCTCAATTACTTTGGACACCAAAGGCAGAGAGGTTAGAATATTGCTTGTGGTCTGCATTAGGTTCCTTAAGAGCAGGATGCAATTATGCCACTTTAAAGGGATCAGGCATCACCCCAGAGGAGAGGGACCATCGGAGTTATTAGGCACCTTAAGCAACAGACGTCGCCGGCCTCACAACGGCAACCGGAAACGTGACATTTCTTTCGAGATGTCACTGCGCATGTACAACACGCTGTGACCTGACGTTGTCCTGAAGTCGAGAACGTGAGAACGTGGGGTTTCACGTCGCGACGAAAACGTGAGTACTTAATCTTTTGTTTTGATCCCTTTTAGCTTACTTTTGTGTTATTTTGATGCCGAACCATGCACAATGATTGCCTTTATGCTTAAAACAATGTTTTCGAAGTATTCTTGGACTCATTTTTTTTTACTGAAAAATTGTTTTTCGCATGTCAAAATAGCCTTCAGCGAAGAGGTTGCTTCCATGCAACGTAATGCCCCTTAATATAATTACTTTTCTTTTCCGATTTTCTAACCGTACAACCCTATAGATTGCTATAGCTTGAATAACATTGATTTCTTCTGGCAAACCCTTCTTCTTGGTATTTCGTTTAACATAGAGGCTTTTTTAATCGACTCAGATGAATTTGTATTCGAACAGTGTGTACGTCTATTTTGCAATGTTTACAAGCTGACAAACTTCGCGCTACCAAATTTTCTCGCCTGAGTTTTATTTCTTGTACATACGAGATTATTGCATTCTTCGCAGAATGCTCTTTACGATACTTTATCAAAATAGGAGGCAAAACTTCTGTATTTGAGCGGTCGATCAATGTGTCGAATGAAAAACGCAGTGAGCTGAGATTCTGTTCAAAATCTATGCTTAGCGTGATAAGTTGTGTGTGTAATCTTAGTAGTCTAAAAATAAATACACCTGTTTTTAATTTTTTCTTAATGATACAACTTTCGCTAAAAAATGCAATTAAGAGGCTGTCCATGAGAAAACCATGCAAAACCATGCAGAAGGTGCTACAGGCTAGATCACAGAATTGGCTTATATTCTGTGAGTAAGTATACTTGGGTGTACTATTTTCAAATATAGTATGATTGGGGTCCAAGCGCCTTTCCTTTGTGTATACGAAGGGGGGTCCCCTCGGGAGACCATTTTTACTGTTATACAAGGCCGAAATTTCTTGAAGTTTAGATGCCTTGATCACCAATAATTTATGACGTGAGTGAAAAATGAGTAGCCGGCGGTCGAACTCAATGATTTAACTTCGACTAGACGTATATACCAGAAAGATTGAGACTTCTTACTTCTCGAGACCGTGTACTAACCGAAGGGCAGTTGAACGCTTTTCTACAAGCTAGAAAAATATTGCACTTTTGAAATTATTTCTAAAATTTCTCGCAAACCTTACAATAAATCTAATATGGGATATGTTAAGAGAATAAGTTGGATTTTTGTTGTACGCTTTCAAAAATCTGGGTATTGTGAAATCATGGACACGTCAGCCTCGGAACTATGACAAACTATGAGCCAACACAATCGTTTTATTAAAAATAGCCAAAAATTATAAGGAACAGGATACCTAATTGGTCGCTCAAAAACACAACATGACGCTTCAAAAACATACCTCTGTGACTGAGAAAGGCTAAAGGGAATAATTTTCCCGCTGTGATCCCAGTAAATCTTCTTTTTTTCGACGAAATGATGTTACTTCGGCTTCGGCGTGTAGCTGGAGAACAGCCATAACCTGTCTCGTGACTATTTTCCCGCTCGTAGAACGATCAAAAGTAACTTTCATTCCCAAAAAGCTATTTCTAATGCTTGAAGGATGGAAAATATCTTTTTCGAACGTCTTCATACGCCTTTTTATGCGATAGAAACTACGTCTTACAAACACGTGTGCATTTGTTTACCACCATCTTTGTTTCGAGCCCGTGAACCAAGCGGTCTTCGGTTTTCCCCTATGTAGATTGCTTTGGCGGGAGTTCTGGAAAGCGCGAACGTTCAGTACAGCTGTAAAAACATTTGAATTCATATACGAAGTTGTTAAACCTATGTTGTAGAAGAGAGGGTCGTATTCTGGCTTAACATTTTCTTCTATGGCTGCAAGTCTAACTTGCTCGTTTTCGAAACACTCGTCGATACCATGTGGCAATTCAAAGCACTATCGTAACATCAAAGAGTACGTGCCACTCCGTAGTTGCAGGAGAGATATAACCAGTCACCTTCAACGGTTGAAAACATCTCAAGCAAACATCAAAGGTGAATGGCATCTGATACTTTTGAGAGCTGGGTTATTTGATGAAGATGGTGAGACGCTCACAATCTGTCCCCTGCACAGAGATATTTTTGGTACTATCTGGAATTCAAGTAGACCAGTTGCAAAATGCCATCATCCGCTTCATGGCCGAAGCAGGGCTAAGCCTGAAAGAGGGATTTCGTTGGAAATTTCAAAAGAAATTCAAGTTTACTGGGGAGTTCTCGTGCCCATTGGATCAGGTATTTGTGAACTGTGTGGTTTACTCAGTTTCCCTCTTTCTTCTTTCTTTCTTTCTTTCTTTTTTTTTTCCAATACTTACTCATTCTGTTCCTTAAATTCTAGGTATATGCATCAGGTGCAGAAAATTACATTTAGAAGAAAGAGGGAAAAGAGAAACACAAATACTTCAGGTGAGTATATATTAACCTCAAAAGTGGTTCCGTTGGTCACACAATTTTTTTGTTTATTTGGAATTTAGCAGCAAAGTCTGAATTATGAGGAAACAACTAAAGTCGCTGTGGTTACTAGAGCAGTTCGATCCCATGGTTTCTTACCCTTACTTTTTACAAGAAAATCAGGCACTTAGAGCCGAAGAAAGTATTGCATTATAATATTATTTATATCGCTCAGAGTTCTGCCTAGGATCCCTCTCATCAATCCACTCATTCTTTCATTTCTTCAATTCTTCAGTCGCCCACTTTATCGCTGAATCACATTTTTTTTTTCATTAATTCATTCTCTTGTATGAGCGTTCGTCCGTTCGTTCGTTAGTTCATTCCTTAATTCCTTTCCTTCGTTTGAACTTCATTCAATAAGTCCCTATTTGCAATATTTTACATTTACCAGGTGACATCCGAACACACAGGCGATGTTGAGAATCCTCCTTATGGCGATCTTAAAAACCATGTGGTAAGTTTCCGGCTTTCAGGGACACTTCCCCTACAATCCGTTGAACGGTATCTGGATATTGCTGATCCTTTTATAAAAACTAAATTACGGTTTAAAATTCTCCACGCACATTAACAGTCATCTACCATGGATAATATTTTCCTTATTTCAATGAATTTTCGAATACCTCTCGTGAAATCATTTTTCCCCCCACTTTTTTTCCTTCTATCCTTTTTCTTCTATTTTCAAATGGAGTTTATTTCGAAGTTCCTCTAGCAGTAATGTAAATGACTGAATGAAAATAAACATTAACTCTTATTATCATTTAATTACGTCTTCAGGAACAGGCGGCTCCTTTGGATTCAAACCCTACCACTGAATCAGGCGACTTCATAAACGTTAGAGAAAATCGTCTTGTGGATGAGTGTCCGGTATGTTTATTTTTACTCATGCATTGATTTAACACTTAACATAAACGACAGATTAGTTTACAGATATTAATCATCTGCATTGCTCTTTATTTTTCTAGGCTCAATGTAATGAACATGAAGTGAGCATTGGTAGTCCTCTAGATGAGTCATTGCCAGAAGAAGACATTTCATATGAATGGTGTTCTACTCCATGTGTGAAATCGGGACTGAAAGCGGTGAATGAGTTTATCCGCTCAGCTCCTTGTGCTCGTGGTAGGATAGATCCAGTGGTTCGTCAGTTGAGTATACCTTGGAAGGAAGCTGCACCAAGCACACAGAGATATTACAGACAGAAGGGGAAAGAGATCATTGAAGTGGCTCTGGATTGCCTTGCTCCAGGGCAAGCCATAGAATTACTTTCAGAGTTGATGAAACATATGGAGAAAAAAGAGAAGCAAAATAGTGTAGATACTGATGTTAGCGAAATATCGCGCCTGATTAAATTGTACGAAGAGGCCAACAGTTGGTTTACTAAAAAGCAAATCCTGTCAGTATTTGTAAACGATTACTCTAAAGCACAACTTCAGCTGCTTATTCCTGGAGTAAGCATTTGGGCGATAGATGAGGCAAGAAGGCATGCCGCTAAGGTGGGGGTGGGTAAACCAGTGCCACAGATGGAGGCCATTACACGCGCAAGACTGGATCCAAGCAAAGTAGACCATTTTCTAGATTTTATCAGCAGACCAAATTTCGTGCAAGATGTTGCGTACGGAACAAAAACGCTAAAATTGTCGAATGGGGAGAAGATGGAGATTCCAAACGTGGTTAGGACAGTTATTGCTTCAAGGATTGTGGACTTATACCAGCAGTACTGTCAGGAAACCGGTTTCCTTTCACATGGGAGGTCAACCCTCTTCAGTATTTTACAGGTACGTATCAAAACAAAATCATGATTTAAAATCAGAAGAAGAGCGAAAAAAGAAGGAAAAATTGGGGGTTTTTATATTCTGTTATCTCATGTAGATATCACGAAGATATCATTATATGCATTAATTGTGTCATGTTTCTTAGTTTAAACTACTTCTTCAGCTTGATTAACTGAAAATTCCTTTAGCCATGCATATAGGTGGGGATTAGAAAAGAGCAAACGCTCTGGATGAGAAAAGCAGTAAATATGAACACGAGGAGAAAAATATAACAAAATGTCATTATTCTATAGATTTGTGCAGCATCACAAAAGAAGTCTTTGGCAGGACTTGACAACATCGCTACAGAGGGATCGCAAGCCTTCGATACACTCGAAGACGTTGTAAACAGGCTAGGAAAGTTAGGTAAGCTCAGGTTGATTTAAGTTTTGTCCCGAGGAGGCCTGAATCTTCCAATTTTGTTTCTATATAATGCTATTTTTCAGTGCACGTTTAACACGCAAACCACCCAACCTCCTAGGCCAATTTAATTTTTGGACTTCTTATTTCTTCTTTAAGGTTTGTCGAAACCATTTTTTTAAAAAGCATATATTTTATACTGTGCAATTTGAACAAAGGCCTGGCCTCTTAACGAAATTTAGCATATATGAGCGGCTTTATCTTAAATAGAAGTAATTAAAAAAAAAGAGTGGTAACATTAGCGTGCCTTTTTAAAGGTAAAAGTTCAGCCTGGGTTCAAGGTGTTAAAGATCGCTTGAAAGCTGGTAAAAGCTACCTTAAGACAAACTTCAAGATCCGCGTTTCTGAAGAAAGCCAGTGTGCTGATCACTGCCGGGTATTTGCGTTGTCTGACCCTGAAGATCATCTCTGTGAGCATGAACACACGAAATCATGTCAAAGCTGCGACAATATCAAGAATGTTCTTGAGGAAATAGAACTAGTATTGTCATCAAGAGACCTTCACTTCAGGTAAACGATTACTGATACCATGTTCTATAGTCTTCTTTCAAAACCAAAAACCTAAACTTTCTTACAGTCAAAACCAAAGAAAGAAGACCGATTTCTCCCCTAACAGATTTTATATTGTTCAGTTTATTGTTGATCGTTTCATTTTACACATGCAAAAAAACTTCTTCACAGGATATTACGAAAAGATATATATTGCAATTTTACCTGATCATGAAGAGTAAGTTTTCTAATTGTCATATCTTAATCACCTTTTTTGCAATTGGAAATGGGTGGCTCAGGTGACTGAAATCTACAGTTGTTTAACATCGGAAACAATGCCGCGTTTACTTCATTAAATAAAGAATCGGGAAAAATATACCGTGCAAAGACAAGCAAATGATGTCGCCCTAAAACGTCAAGAAATTATAATTACACCTTTGATAATTGAACGAAACCATCAACTTTTTTATTTTGATTTTTAGATATCAAGACGAAAAGGAGGAACTAGAGCATGACGTTAGTAACGCTATAGACAAGATTGAGCGATGGAAGGCCCACATCTTAAGAGCAGTACACCAGGACGTAGCAAAGGATGATATCCTCAACAATATGACGCCAGAGCAAGCTTTAATTATCATGGATTGGGCTATGAAATTCCTTCCGTTGAAGTATAGGGAAACGCAAGGAGAGTGGTTTGGAAAGAAAGGCCTCTCTTGGCATGTCACAGCCGTGATAACAAAACCGAAGGAAGAGTTTGAGGTATATTCTACAGGCACATCCCACATCTGACTATGGGCATATCCAAAACGGTGCATGATGCTTTGTCTGTCTCTGTATGTACTACGCCGCTCAGTCGGATTATGCGCAAATCCTTTTTTGACAACATGGAACTACACTTATAAGAAACGTAGGAATTGCATGCCGAAATTTTGTCTTTTAAAAGGACACCTGTAGGGATCTCTTCTCGGAAGAGATCCCTGTTTGTTGACACTGTGTTGATTCTCGTGAGCGACCGTTTACAGGAGGTTTGACGGTATATTCCTTAAATTACCATTTCAGTTTCAGATATTGTAGAAGTCGAATTTGTGTCCTAAATAGAAGAAATGCTGAGTTTTCATCTTATTCCCTGAGTAACAGTAGAGTTATCCACATTCACTTGCTGTACAAAATACGGTAAAGGCAATGTATAAATTAGGTATTGACAGTGGAGGTAGGTCGGTGTCCGCGTGACAGGTTAAAAGCTTACACTGATCAGTTACTTTATTGGCACATTCTACTGAGGAAATAATCCCTTGAAATCTTTAGCTATGAAGTGCAGGAAGATACGAGGCATAGTTATAGTCAAGGGATGAAACAACAAGTTGACAACAGATAGGATTACCAGAAGAGTAGGTATTTGAAAGTCAGTGAGCTTTCCTGTTGTACTTTATTTAACGTCATGGAGCCGATAGTGTAACATTATTTCTTATGTTCATTTGTATAGGTAAGGACATACGTTCATCTGCTGGATCACTGCAGCCAGAACTGGTTTGCTGTTGCATCTATTTATGAGAACACGCTTATGGAAATAAAGAGGAAGTCACCTGAGATTGTCGAGGCGTTTGTACGTAGTGATAACGCTGGATGTTATCACTGTGCTCTTTTATTGCTTAGTATTTCTGGTATTAGTCAACGAACAGGTGTAACTACAAGCCGATACGACTTCAGTGAATCAAACAGTGGTAAAGATATATGCGATCGACATATTTCTCCTTTGAAAAGTCATATACGCCAGTACGTCAATGCAGGAAATGATGTCGAGAACGCAAAAGACATGAAGAAAGCAATAGATTCTTACTCCGGAGTTAGAGGTTGCCGTGCATCAGTTGTAAAGGTGGACACTTGCGCCCAGGATCTGCATAATCACAACTGGAACGGAGTACTGATGTTTTCAAACTTCAAGTTTTGCGCAGACGGAATCAGGATGTGGAAAGCCTTTAATGTTGGAGAAGGAAAGTTCGTTCGTTACGATAAGCTAATGAAGAGAGGCACCAGCCAGGGAAGTACCCGATTGGAGGTCGTTGAGCCCTTCACATCCCCGCGTGTGTCGACTGGCTTCTTGTACAAAAATAGCAAAACGACGGAAAACACAAGTGAACCTTGTGAATTCAGTTGCCCTCAACCAGGCTGCATCAAGTTATTCAAAACGACAACAGCGTTACAAAACCACCAGGACTTTGGCAAACACATTTTTTGCACCCAAAAGGATTCCACGCATGACAGTATTAAGCGTAAATGGGCTAACGCATGCACCAACCAACGCCCTTCATATATTCCATCTAAAAAGAACCTTGAAGGACTGAGCCAAGAAGAGTGCAGAGAGTACCCCACTGCTGAGCCTGGCTGGGCCTTGAAGAAAAACAAGAAGACTGGGAGATTTTCAGAACATGTCAAAGAGTACCTTCTTAAACTGTTTCTTGATGGAGAAGATACAGGAAATAAGAGCGACCCTGCCGTTGTTGCCTCAAACTTTAAGTCACTTCGTGGACCAGATGGCGTAAAATTGTTTTCTTCTAAGGACTGGCTCAGCACTCAACAAGTTACATCATACTTTTCACGTCTCGCATCGGTCGCTAAGAGTGGAAAGCTTTCTTTAAACAAGAAGACTGTAATAGAGGAAGAAGATATGCTCGATGCCCTTGTTGAGAGAGGAGAACGAGAGTCCATGCGAGAGAAAGTTTTTCACGTTGTGGACTTATAAAAGGAGCTTAAAAACCGTTGAGAAAAAGATGGGGCAGAACCGATAAGCAGCTAGATAGGAGATACCTGTTACCAATGCCCGTTATAACGCGTGCTCTCTAGGTGCACTTCATAAGAATGACAACACGTTTTTTTATTAATGAAAACTTTTTGTTGTAAACTAAAAATTTGTCCCATCTCCGCACACGGGGCTCTGCAACCAATTTTCAGGCCCCGGTTGTTCAAACGTTTGTGAGTACTATCCACCGGATAAATCACTATCCAGCAGATAAGTACTAGGGAAACCAATTGCGTTATCCAGTGGATAGATTTTTATCCGGTGGATAGCGCTATGCCACGTTTGAACTACCGGGATCTATTTCTTTCAAAGTTATGTCATATTGGAAGATGTGTTGGCTCTTATTGTATACAACTTACAGCTCATTATATCACCTTATAAGGCTATAAAATAAATTTAGAAAAGAGCTTACCCTTTGCCAGACAAAGCAAAAATACGAAATTTGTAAATGGCATCAAAGCAAACGATTTTCTAAAGCACTAAGCAAAAGAACACTTCCCGTTGATTACACAATGGCCTATAATACCGCAGGTCAGTTTTTCATTGCAGGCGCATAAGCAATATGGCGGAAGAAAGAGTTGTGGTTGATGTGGCCCTTCTGTCGTAATCTTTATGTCCAGAAAATGATAACCGTTGTCAATTTAAATATCAAAATGGGCATTAGAGTATTGGCCTTTTCAACAGCACCAAATCTGAGAAATAAGTCGCAGCCTGTGTTTTATCGCACCACTCAGTCTTTCTGAACGGCAATGGAATGTGCACTTTTGGACGGTTTTATGGC